AGAGGTAATCAGATGCAAAGTTAATTAAATAACATTAAAAGGTTGTAATTTTCCTGGCAATGAAGAGTTAACCTATGTTTTAAATTATATATAATCAAAAATAAAGATTTCCCTTATTGTAAATATTGACCAGTTTAGTAGCTACCAATAATTTAACCAGATTTTCTCAGTTCTTGGTCTGGTAAAGCATTGTTGGAATAAGGCAGTCAGAATGATGTGTGCAGGAGTGTTGCTGCCTTTAGAGAGTCAGCTGCGAGTTAGTGCATGCCTCAGTGAATAAGGGAATGGATACCAACTTCTGACTTGATTTAAATGGTGTGACTTCTGTTCTGTAACATGTTTTTAAATTTATAAGGAATATTAAGTCTTTCTCTTCCCTTTTAGCCTTAGATTGTAAGCAAAAGAAATCAAGGTCAAGATCGGGAAGCAAGAAGAAAATGCTAACATTACCTCACGGTGCTGACGAGGTTTACATTCTCAGATGCAGGTATGCCCGCCAGTGTCCTCAGATTCCCTTTGAGACATAGTAGCTGTTTTAGTTGCTTTTTTTATTTTGTGGGAGGGTATTCACAACAATAAAGTTACAAATGAATTTTCAGAGCCAGGCTCAAAATCATAAATTCATCACTTAGGTTACTTCAGGAACTAATAAGTCGAGGTTTGTATATTAGCCAAAAGACTGTATTATAAAAGTATAATTTATAAAAGTGGTGTTTTAGTTGCATTGTTTTATTTACTTGATTTGTTTGATTGAGTTTCATTTTCTTCCTGCTTATTGAGAACACATTTTCTTTCTTGATACATACACCCTACCATATACTCAGATGAATATACATAGACATTGTTCTTTTAAAAATTCTTAAATACCTTAAAGAGGAAGGAGAGAAGTCTTTCAATAGTAAAACTTATTTCTTATGTTTGTGGGTTTTATGTGAATTGATTTTTAAATGAAATTAATGAAGAGAGCTGTAATTATCCACTTCTTCTTTAGGTTTTGTGGCCTAGTCTTTCGGGGACCATTGTCTGTTCAGGAAGACTGGATTAAGCACTTACAACGACACATTGTGAACGCTAATCTTCCACGGACTGGAGCTGGCATGGTGGAAGTCACATCACTACTTAAAAAGCCTGCCTCCATTACAGAAACTTCATTTTCTTTACTAATGGCAGAAGCAGCTTCATAGAACCAGGAATCTTTTAAATAGCAAATTTCATTGGATGTAAATTTGAAATTGTCTTTTTTTTTTGTAAGCCACATTAAATTATCCATTTATAAATACTAAAGTAGGAAAATGGGGGAAAGTGAATTACAGTGACATTAAAGCAAACTGAATGCTTAAACAGTAAGTAGTCTATATATTTTATATAGGGTGGAAATGTGTTTCATGGTTTACTAAGTATTGTTGGCTAACTAGGTTTGCTCAATAAAAGGTCTTACATCTAAGAGCCATTTATGAAGTGTTGCACATGAATACTTACAGACAGACTTATTGGAAGATTATGTTCTCTGCAGTGTTAACCAGGATCAAGGCTCTGTTTAATTTCCACACTTGCATAGAAAAATAAGATATTATATTTTGTTGGTATGTATTTAGTGTTTTGTATAATACCAGGAACTGCTAACTAAATTTACTCAACTTAGGGCATTAAATATCATGTACTTCATAGTTTGAGACTGTTCACCCAAATAGGGCAGAGTACTATTCTATCTAGATGTGTAAGTGTTTTTTTAAAATCATATGGAACGGTTTTTTTTTATACTAAAAAGTGGAGGGAGATTTGTTTAAACAAGTATTTCTAAAAGAAATATGTACATAGTCCTGGAAATTATTTGTGGTAAGGAAATATTCTTTACTCCAGTTGCATTTCTCAGACAATAAAGTGGTGCATCCATGCTACCTCCTACTTTGTCAACAAAGATGCTATTTACCCTTTCCATTTTTGTATCATAATAGATTTTAAAAATCTAATGTTCTTTATTGCAAGACATAACTTTTGTTAAAAGATTTCTTTTTAACGTTTTACGTAAAAATTGACATGCTTACAGGACAGGTTTGCCTCTTTATTTAACATTGTAGAAATGTAATTAATAAACAATGCTCACTACACAATTTAGAATAGGCTTTCTCATTTATATTATCTTCCAAATTTGGTCAGCTAGCAAAACTTAATACACAAAATATTTCTACATATGATGAGAATGTTTACAATTTCAATTTTAGAACTTGTTTTGGATGTGATTATATGTACGAAAATTGTGTAACACTATGCTCATGCTAAGAACCGACATAATGGAATTACTGAAATAAATGTGCTGTGAGGAATGGAAAATATGGTGCAGGTGTCTTGGTCATGATAAATTGTGGTTATTCTTTTCAGTTCTTTCCAAAATCACATTAGTTCCTTTAATCCAAAATTAGATTCCTTTACAAATAACAGTTTTGTATGCAAGCACCATTCCACTTAATTTCATGTAGTCACTAATATAGTTGAACCAAGGATATGCATTGATACTTTTCTTCATATGTAAATAAAGTTAGAAACAGTTAAACTAAGGAGTATTTTGGTAGAGTATATACATACCTCACTGCCAGTGAAATTACTTTGCTATGGTATATCTCCTTACCAGAAAAACTCTAAATAAAAAAGACTTAAAGAATGATACGCCTCTACTGTGAAGCATTTCTTATTTTTATCATTGGAAATAGTCCACTTAAGGGTGTGTTTTTGTTGATTTTGTTTATATTTACCATTACTTTGTTTACAAGGATATAGTTTTCTAGAAGCATCATATTGGTACACATACATGGAAAATAATTTTTTCCTATTATGATTAACCCACACTCTTAATTCAGGACCATTCTTACTGTGAAATTAGGAGGTTGGGCTGGGTAGATCATCTCAGCCAAGGGATCCTAGGGTGCTAGATAGAGGAAAAATCCTTTTACAGTATTAACAAGGCATGAAAGGAAGTATGCATTTGTCTCTAATGATGAGATGTAGCTAAAACATCAAATTTCTTTACTTTTGTCTGAAAATATACTAAGTCTGGCCTATATTCTCTCTCTTTTGGGGGGGGTGGAGGTCTTTTTGACCGATTGTCTCCCTGTAGCCCCAGCTGGCCTAGACCTCGATTTGTAGACCAGGCTGGTCTTCAACCTGCAGAGATCTGTCTACCTCTGCCTCCCAGGTGGGTTCTATATTATCTCTTGCTGAGGACATTTATTATTTCTTGCCACCTGCTGCTTTGGGGTTTGGTTTGTTCTTGCTTTCTAGGACTTTGCTCAAGTTGCATTAGCAAGTTATTTGAGATCTAATTCTGGGAGGTTAGTAATCTCCACCTCTGCCTGTGCTCTACCACTGAGCTAAATTCCCAGTCCTCCTGTTTTTTTTTTTTTTTTTTTTTTAAATAATGTAAAATCTTACAAATTTTATTAGAACTGCTTTAACTTACCCCCCCAAAGTTCTGGCAAGTTACGCTTTCATTTTCATTTGATTCTTCATTGACCCACCGATCAATCAAAAGTGTTTTGTTTAGGGGCCGGAGAGATGACTCAGTGGTTAAGAATGAATACTGCTCTTACAGAGGACCCAAGTTCAGTTCTAGCATATATGGCAGGCTCAGTCCAAGTGAAGAGAAAACAAACTGTTACAACAGCAACATCATCAAAATGTATAGAAACCACCTGCAACTCCAGGAGGAGCCAATGCCTCCAACCTCTACAGGCACCTGCACTCGTGACTCAAAGTATAGTAGAAAAAAGATGAAACAAAGGGTGCCTGGGAAAAATAAAGTTACCTAATAAAATGTGTAAACAAAGTTAGATGGGTAAATGAAAGGGAATACAAAATAAACATTTCTGTAAATACTGTGGCGTGAAACTACTTCCCACAGTCTAATAAAAGGAAGGCACAACATGAAAACCAGATGAAGTGTTGGAGGGCCCTGGAAAGTGAGCCTGCTAGTTGCCATTGGGTTCTTGTCTTTTCTCTGGTTTATGCCGGTTTGGGTAAGTGTCTGTCTTCACCTGAATAGTTTGGATTTTTTTTTTGCCCTTGCCACATTGAGCTCAGTTGTCTGTGGGCTGAGCCCATTCTCTCACCCCAGCTCTTATCCTCTAGTCTGGCTAATGTTGGGGTAGGACTCTTGATTTTATTGGGCATGTAAGAAGCAACCACAGTACTGAGTTCTGTACAGGTGGAAGACCTCTCCATACTACAGACCTCCCAAGCGTTAACCATTGTTGGAGGGATTCACCCTGGGTCAAGTAGACCTCCAGGCTTCAGCATTTTCAGGCTGTGTAGCTGTGAATGGAGGATAACGTGGCTGCCTGAGCGCGCTCTTCCCAGTTGATTGGATCTGGCTACCCACCCCTAAGCTTCACTCCCTGCGCTCAGCCGCCTACATCTACATTCTGTGACTTGTCAGCCTCTGGCCCTCCTGCTCTCTACAACTGCCTCCCAGGGCTGTCTTTCATCCTGGGGCTATGGCAGATTGAATTCAGGTCTCCTGGGCAACTCAAACAGTAGGCTCTCTCAAGATGGCACCTGACCCTGCCCTTTGAGCCATACAGTGACAGAGTGGAATCCTTCTCACTGCTGACTCTGGCTGGGGGAGTTACCTCCTTACTAAATCCCACAACTGGTTTTGAGGCTTGTGAGGGCTTTGGGCTCATACAATTCTGTCTCTTTACCCAAGGCTGCCTGGCTTGCCTTTTGAAGAGATCCCCTCTCAGGTGGATCTGCAGTGCTGGAACTGTGGTCCACTGACTTCTTGCTGTCTGCAAGAAGTTCAGTTATTCTACCTGTACTTGTGTGAAATGATCTTCCTCTTTCTTTTTTTGAAATAGAGCCTTCTTGTTCCTATTCTGGCTCTTCCTGTGGTCACACAAAGGCTGCTTTCTAACACGCAGTCCTAACCTGGAAATCTTATCGTTTCTGTATGGTGAAATATACTTCAAACTTTTACATAGTGTTCCATTACACCATACTTGGTTAGTTATTTCTCCGCTCATGATGTTTTATATTGTCTCTGGGATTTTAGCATTGTAAAGAATGCTTTGGATGAATACTCTTTGTGTATATATGTATAATATATATTTATTTGAGAATTTCCTATGCTATATTATACATACTCCCCACTTGCAATTTTCTCTGGACCCCCCCCCAACATTTTCTCAACTTCATGTCCTCCTCTTTCTCTTGAAATTTTTTTGTGCATGAGTGTTTGCAAATGTTTATCTTCCTCTTTTAGATTATCATGTGGTTTTTCTTTCTATAATTTGGTCATATTAGGGCTGGGAGAGATGGCTCAGCGGTTAAGAGCACTAGCTGTTCTTGGAGCAGAGCTAGGATCAAATTCCAGCATCCATACAGTGGCTAACCGTAACTCCAGCCTGTAACTCCAGTTCTGGGGACTCAGATGCCCTCTCTGTCCTCTGAGATAGCATTAAAATTGTATCCCATGGTCTTCGCTTTACCTGTTAGATTATAGACTAGGATCCTAGTATGAGTACAAGTGTGCCAGGGTTTCGTGTTTTATATTTCTTTTTTAAAATTTATTTTTCATTTTTTATGTTTTTGGTCTTTTTGAGACAGATTCTCCCTGTAGCTCTAGCTGGCCTGGAGCTCACTGCAGATGTAGACCAGGCTGGCCTTGAACTCACAGAGATCCTCCTGGTTCTGGGAGTGCTGGTACTAAAGGCATGTAGCACCACACCCGGCACGTCCATCTTCTAAATGAGCAAAGTAAGGCATAAAGATGAGCTTTCCCAACAGCTGAAGCTGAAATTCAAATGCAGGCAGCATGGCAGCAAATCAAGCTCAAAGTTATTAGAAATCTCAGTTCTAAAGTTGGACTTGGGTGGTGCACACCTTTAATTCCAACACCAGCTCTCCAGAGGAAGACAGGCTGGTAGGTCTCTTAGTCTAAGGCCAGCCTCGTCTGCATAATGAGTTCCGGGTCATCCGGGCTATAGCGAGACCACCACCCACACCTCCTCAGTTTTTTTATGGGGCTGGAGAAATGGCTCAGCAGTTAAGAGCACTGGCTGTTCTTACAAGGGACCCAAGTTGGGTTCCAAGCACCCACGTGGTGGCTAACAACCATTCATAACTCTAGTTCCAAGGGATCCGATGCATCTTCGGGCCTCCAGGAGCATTGCAGATGAACAAAATACATAAAAATGTATGAGTATAGCCTGTCCCAGTCCTCATTTCCAGTGTAGACTTCCTGTAGGTTCCGGCTGTGGGTTGTGTGTTACAGGGTGGACATTTTCATATTAAGAAGGATTGCTTTTAGGCTGGGGACTCTTGTTTCCCCCTTCACATTTCTCTCTTACCCTTCATGTAAGTTCATTGGTAAAGGGCTCAAGGCTGGTTTTATCTTTGGTGGAAGCAAAAACTGCCTCCTGTCCCTACCACCAACAGGAAAACAAGTCGGAGAAGATGGTTCACACAGATCTGTAATCTAGGAAGATAAATCCCTTGATCTGTTTATTCTTTTATCATTATATGAGTTGAAACATTTTGAGTACTTAATAAACAGACTTTCCTTGTCTAAATTGCATGTCTGAGTGCTTCTTTGATGGTGGTAGTAATAGATGGTAGGTTTGAAAAAAAAAATCAGGAACCTTGTCTTTTCAAAGTATATTGGAGGGGGAAAGGACTTGTGAATGACAACTTTAAAACCCTTCCAACTGCAGTTATTTTCTTTAGACCCTGGAGAACTTTTCCCTTAAAATAATTGCCTACTAAAAAAATTAACTTAAAAAAATGGATTGCTAAGGATGGTGAGGTGGCTCATCCGTTAAGAGCATGTACTGCTCTTGTACCGGACCCAAGTCCAGTTCCCAGTACCCATAGTGGGTGCATCACACAAGCTCCAGGAGATCCAAAGCCTTCCATGACTCATGTGCACAGACCCACACACAAATACATAATTAAAAAATTGTAAAAGAATTGCCTTTACAATATTGTTTCTTTGTCACTTGTTAAATTCTTTATTCCATTTTGGGGGGCGGAAAATTCAACTAAACATTTAGTGTTAACATTTTGTTTCTATGGAGTTGGGACACTTAAACAGTAAGTCCTGAAATTGAGATAAGTTGAAGTTTTGACAGCAAGGGCAATTATCAGGCATAAAGATCTGCCCCTTTGTGAGCAGTCACTGGCAAGGGGACAAGATTACTTACCAGTACCATATGTAGAGGGGAGCTGTTCATAAATGTAAAAGCAAGCTCATTATCCCCAGTGTGGTCAGTTTGTGGTGATGATAGCAGTGATGGTGAAGGCACATCTGGAGTCTGGTGGTTGGAGTAAGCTAGAAAATAGGGGAAAGAATATTAAACCAGGCATCGTAACTCGTCAGCCTGTGCTGTTCGCTGTGTCAGCCAAACATAAAACCCTGAATTCGTACTGAGACTAGTTTCCCTTGCTCCGCACTGAGGATTGTAATACAAGTACATGTTCCCTTGTCCTTCCCTCTCTAAAACTAGATCATTACAGCAACATCAAGAATATTTAAAGTAGCACGTAACACTAAGGCATCTTTTCGTTAAAAGTGTGCTTAATTGTAATTTATGCTTAATTATAATTGGTTTATCTAATAGTTTTGGGGGGCACAGTATTTATGAAAGAGGTGCAGTGTTCATTTTAGATAGC